CTTTTAGGCTTTTTAATGAATGATTTTTGACTGATTGCCTATTAATAAGGACACCTCTTGAACAGGCATAGGCTGGGGCAGGGGATGGGAGGTGCAGATGTGTTTGTTTTTGGGTGTGTGTATATGTGTGTGTGTGTGTGTGTGTGTGTGTGTGTGTGTGGTGTGTCAACCAGGCGAAAATGCATTGGAGAAGTGGGAGGAAGAGGCGAGGAGGGGTGGGCCCTCTCGGTTGGGACATAAAGAGGAACCAGTGGCTCCCCTGGGAAATCACAGCTCGTGTCTGCATCTTAAATATCCCTGTGAAGTATCAATAAGTGGGTAATTGAATTTTGAACACAAACATGAGCGTCAGGTGTATGTGTTGCAGGGCGGGGGTGTCTGGTTGTGGGAGGGGGAGTGGGGGTGGGGATGTGTATGCTGAATGTGTGTGCCTCCAAGTGTTTCTTTGCTCATGTGTTTGTGTGTGCGTTTCATCTCCTCCGTGTCTCCCTCGTCCCCGGGGAGGATAGCAGTGAAAGTGGATGTTAAATCCATTAAATAAAGCTTACAGCCCGTTATAGCTGAGTGGCACTCGGACATGGGCAGTGAGGGTCAGATAAGTCCTCTTAACTCTTAATGAAAGTGAATCGGGGCAGTCGCGGCCGGGGGGCCAGGACTCCTGTTAACCCAGGTGGTCATCTATCTTTGGAGCTAACAGGGGTCCAGCCGCTCACTGGGAGCATGCCATCTCGTGTGTGGGAGGGGAGGCAGGGGGGGGCAGAGCGATGATTACTCTCATTTTATACACAGGGGAGTTGTGGGGTAGGGGCCTGGGGGCGGGTTGTGACAATGACACCCAGCTCACTCACCGTAAACGAGGGGAAAGTAAGATGTTACACCACCGCGTTTCCTCTGCATTTACATTTCAGCCACCAGGGATTTGGCAAATGAAAATCATTTGCTGGCCTGGAGCTGAAAATAAAATTGCTGTAACATTAAGGTTTGCACCACAGAATTTCCTGTAGTGTTGGCTTTAATTATAAAAATCCAAATTGCCTCAGGCTTTAGAGTGAGTTTTTCTTCAGATAAGTTCATCTCCATTGTTATTGTTACAGCTTAGCAGCAGTAATCAAACGTAGATCTATATCCAGAGGATCAGTGGACTGATGATGTGGGAGTGTGGGCTACAAGAGGCAGAGACCTTTAGCAGGCTGCTCCACTGTTATCTGCTCTATAGTGGCCTATCTATCTGGGCGGTAATCCCTCAGCCTGATGATAACTTGACTAATTTCTGTTTCTTTTTATATTGTGTCTGTTTATGCATGAAAATGAAATGTCCCTGAGATAAAAAGTTGAATACAAGCAACGCTGAATATCAGATTTAGGTAAAAAAAACTATATGCAGGACAATGTGGCTGTTTACTGAATGACCATGTTAGACTATGATGGAATCTCACACCAGTCGCGGCTAAATGATAATAGGATAGCAACAAATCAACAGGGCAAGGAAATGGCCCCCAGAATCCATAAGGTGTCATTTAGTATGGATGGCAGCCGTAACAAGATGCTGATTAACTTAGTGCAAAATTAGTAATTGACCTTTCTAATCAACTAAACAAATCTCTAAATCCCACTAATCAGTATTGATCTCCCATGTTGTATGACAAAGCGCGTGTGTGTCAGTGTGTGTGTAGTAGTGGGTGATTTAGAGGCTCTCTAAGCTAAGCCTGTCTGTTAATACAAAATAAATGATTGATAAATAATACTTGATAATACAGCAGTTACAGTCACATCTGAAATCATCCATTTATTATCACATTTTTTCTTCAGATTTTTATTTTGAAATTTTTATGACTAGTATTTTTCACTGAAGACATTTAACGTGTCTCAGGTGTGAATGAATAAAGGATACATTTCAGTATCAGTGTCTCACATACTAACTCACTGTCACGTAACTACAAATATTTTATGAATTTTAAGCAAATTTCCAAATAATTGGTAAATAATCATGCAAATGAATTCATGTTTCTGTCCAGTACCCTTCAAAAACATAAGCAGTTGGGTGCATCGAGACAAGTGGTTGGTGGTAATAATTCTCCAAGTCAGGACCATTAAATTATTCCAGAGGAAATGGTTTGCAATGAGATGATGTAATTAAAAGAGCGCAAGTCTAACCTCAAGCAAAAACAATGTGGAAAATGTGATAGAAATATGTAGTTTGTTTGTTTTTCTGTGTTCATTTGAGGAAGTCAGTCTCCTCTTCTATCCACACATATCTGATGGTTCTGTCTGTAACATCCCTTCATTTCTCCAGTAGAATAGAAGCCTCGGTGACATTTAAGTCAAGTGATTTACATACACCAGGTCATACCTGCTGAATATCTGAATATCTTTTCATTGCACTCTGTTGTACTTTCTTTTGTGACATTTTTACTTATTGAATTCTTGGCTTTGTCACTGATATTTTTATATGACTGAAACTGAAAATGCACAGAAAAACAGGGTGTGGCTTCCTGAGCCACTTGAAAAGAATAGAGCTGTTGTTGCCATTAAATCTGCGACTTTGGCAATTGTTTCTCTTTCCGTGGTCCCACTACCTATGCACACTTTACCTTGTCTTGCATATATTGTAACACATTTCTTAAATTTTGTTTGGCCTCATCACCAAAATCAGATCCCACCTCAACTTGCCAGTCACATCACTTTTCTATATATTTAGTATTTTTATAAAAAAGAGAGACATTATAAATTGATCACTGATTTATATTTAATTGGGTCTTTAATGAGATGATATCATGTCTACGAGTCTCTGTCTGAGTAGCGGGAGGCTGAACTGAGCCATAATTAATAAAATGCTTGGTGGGCTGAGGGGTCTCAGGAGGAGAGGGCTCCGCCCTCTTTGATCTGTTTTACAGTTTGGGCTCATCAAGAGATGGAGGAAGAGATAACAAGAGAATCAGAAGGATGACACCTTTAGATTCAAAAATATGAACTGCTAGCCCATACCGTTCATACCATAACTTCTCCTAATAATGAAATGGCATCAAGGCACTTGTGGTTTTAGGGTCATCTCAATTTAATTACTTTCTCTCGCCTAATTTTGATGGCTTCATTTCAATCTGAAGCACCCGTGCATGTGCAGGGTTCCCCTGATGACTTTGTTTAGCGTGATTTGAAGAGACAGCAAAGTGCAAAATGAATCCGTCCCATTCCAATTAGCATCATCTTTAACCTAATGACAGACACCTCAAGGTGACGTGGCCCCCACGCCCAGATGCACCATTATCATTCCACACTGTGCGACTCATCTAAATTAGTAACTGACCCGGCTTTTTTCATTAGCTACTGTGGACAGGGGGAGGCGGGGCCCCTTCAAACCAGCACACAGGCACTCAGCAGTTGAGATCCTGATCACATTCTTCTTAGATGCATCGTTAAGGTGGATGACTTTAATTCCCATTTGAAATCAGTTCTCACTCGGCTGCGCTCCTGTGTTATATTTGTGTGGTGTACAAGGTTAGTTAAAATAAAGTAGCTGAGGTGATTCCAGCTTGGTGCTGATAAAGACTGTAGTGGTGCCGAGAGGCTGATCCTCTTCTTATCTTTAACAGAGAGTGATTACTGTACCTGGGAGGTGGCTCTCCAGGGTTTATGACGATACTGCAGGAAAGTCCTCCCCGTCTCCATAGTGACACAACGGTTTGACTTTGGCAAAAAAGCCTCAGAAATGATTTCACTCCCAGTGAAGATCAGTTTCACAAAGGGCCTTCTGCAGGGACTTGGGTGGTATATAGTTCACCTAGGTGACTGGAAACCACCCAGACATCTTGTCGACAAGGAATTACCTCTATGCTTTGTTTACACGTGTCAATAATTTAACCAATATGTTTTATTGGCATCACAAATGTCAGATGTGTGTGACAGAATGAGTAGTTGGGTCAAATTAGCAAAATCAAAGATACTAGTTACAATTTTTTTTATAAGGGTTCATTAATTCACAGGTTTTGTGATTTGGTCTCAAAGAAAATAGAATAGAAATATAATTGTTTCTCGCAGCTCTGCGGTAGCAAAAATAAATAAATAAGTTATTAAAGTCAGAACAATATGAATTATAGAACTCTGTATACTGTGTATAACCAAAAATAATGGTTCCTAATCCTTAAAGAAACAAAAATATGTACTTAAAATACAGTACAGTAAAATATCAAGATTATAACAAAGATATTATATTTACTAAATTAATAATCTGTCACTTTTTTATAAACATTCCATATTTGCATGTCGAGGGTAATAGAGACATTTTGCACCTTTTCTCTCTAATGAAGTACAAAGACACAAATCACCGTTTAATGCAGTAGGTCTGAGTACGTGAGCTTCACTACACTGAGATACCAATCAGGCATATCACAAGACTATGTGGTAGCTATGTCTCCATTTTATGTTGTTTTCCATGTCGTGAATGAACAGATGTTTGTATAAATTACCTCCCAGCGTGATGCTGCAGATATTAAATACATGCTTTGCATAACTAAACAACGGTTCAGACGTGGTAAGAGCTGCAGGCAGACGTGTGAGGCTGACGGCTTTGTTCTGGTTTTACCAACTTATCTAATCTGGAGACTTATGATCATAATAACAACTCGATTAGCACTCAGGAGAGCAGGCACCTCCGCCAAGGGCCAACAGTCCTCTTAACTTCAATCAAGCCGCATCGGACTTCAAATACTCATAAATATCAGTCCACCAAAAAAAGCTGTTTTTTGTTTTTCATCTAGAACAATGAATTATTTGGTTAAAATGTTGAAAAACACAATTTTAAAGAAAGTGCCAAAAAGAATCCTGGATCCGCTCCCTGATTCGGATCTACACCAAATTTAAATGGGTTCTTTCCTGACATCCTTCCACCAAGTTGCGAAGTAATCCGTCCGGTAGTTTCCAGTAGGTAATGATTATAACTGGTCTCTTAACCTGGGCAGCTCTTTATGCTGATGATGTGATTTTGTGTCTTCTTGTTTTTCCAGCGAGGGAAATGACCAGAGGCAAGTTCCTGAACATCTTGGAGAGACCCAAGAAGTGACAAATCCGTCTTTTTCTTTGTTCTTCAAGTGGCGGGACATTTGTGATTTCAAGCTGAATCAGATCTGTGTTTAGCGATATCATCTGAACATGTTCAGACCTTTACGACAAAGACTCTCAGACAGTGAACTGCGGCTAAACGCTGACGTCATCTTTCCACACTCCTCAGTTTACCTCCTCTAGATAGATGCCTTTCCTTTTAATGGAAACTTCATATGATTTACTACTTTTCACAGAATGTCTCTGTAGCTTGTAGACCTGCCTTGATTATATTTTCTCTATTTATTCTTATTTCTATTTTAAACTTGATTTACATCTTTTTTGCAATTTGTGAGGTTGTATTAATAAAGTTTTAACATGAGAAGAATTTGGCTTTCATAAGGTGATAGGAGCTTGCAGCCAGAGCAGCTATTTCTGATGATGCAGCAGTTTTTATGATGCTAGCTCGGCTGTGGAAGTGAAAGGAGCCCCCGACGTGGGAGTGCTCCCACGACTACCAGGGCAGGTTTTCCGTTTAATGAGCATTAGAAGCAGGGTCCCACTACCTACACAAAACATTGCGTAAAAATAATATTGCTCATTGTCGTCGCAGTTAATGAGAGTTGACATAATTACTAGGACCATTTCTTTTCTAATTAGCACACTTCAGCGTCGTCGGAGCTAGCAGCCGGGCAAAAAGAGAATCAGACAGGCGTGCCGAATGGGAAACAAAAAGAAGTCCATCCGCCATAATTAGGTAGGACAATGCCTCGGACTGTTCTCGGCTGGAGATGTCGCTGAGGCTCTGGTCGCTCGCTCCCAACAAGTTACACTTCTCCCCAGGCCTCTTAATAAGCCCCCCGAGCGTCTTTCCGATTCACACGGACAGAGGCCGCCATTGCCTCGGTGGCTGCACCCCCTGCCTCTCACACGGACCCTGGCTCACCCCTCTGAAAAAAATATGGGTTATTTACACAATTCCTCAGCTTTCAGAAACACCTACTGCCCCCGTGTGTGCTGAGACCGGGACAGAGGGTCTTGGACACAGCATGGACCATGGGGCCAGAAATCACATTTAATGGGCTAACAGCTGCAGTCAGGACTGTGTAGGATAATCCAGCTGCACAGAAAGTGGCCTACACACAATGATATAGGCTGTAACGTTTATCCAATGATGTTAATAATGTTACTGTTACACAATTATCGCAAGTATTGACATGGGTAACACAATCCCTATACAATGTTTAGTACCACTTTATTTAGAAACGTAACACTTAAATTCACTTTCCTTTATATTCTGGAAACAAGTTGTGGAGCTAGTGCAGAGATATGGATTGCTATTTAAAAAGATAAACACTATTGATTACTTATTAACATCCATAACTGCAGACTGAATGGCTTATTAGAAACAATAACACCCTCTGTTTATTTATGCCGTGGAAACATTTATAACAGCAAATATCAAAGTTTCAAACTTTGCAACACAAACATGAAATTTAAATAAATGGTACAGTTACTGCTTAAAATAAAAAAAGTACTTAATTAAATGTTAAATCCTGCTTTGAAAATGTCAATAAGAAAACTAATCCTTTCTGTGTTATTTAGAGTGTTCAATTATTACAGGTGCTGGTGTATCCTACGTTGCTTTTTACTGTTATATCCAGATTGATCTTATTTCACTCAGTTTATGCACCGTTTGGTTTAAACAGTTACAAGTTAATTTTTCCATTTAAAATGTAGTGAATTAAAACGTTACAAAGCCTGACAGAGGAAGTTAAGTACAAGTATCTCAAATGTGTACGTAAGTAGACTAACAATACAATAAACATTCTTGGTTGCTCGGTCCCTGGTTACAAAGAGAATGGATACTTTGCAGAATCCTTATACAGTACTTTAAGTCTCAGTTCACACAGGATGTGACCAGACACTTGTTGATGCCTGGTGACTGTTGAACGCTGCTCAGTCTGCTGAGTGTTGATGTGAAAACAGACCTGGCGTCCTCAATATGCTGCAAGCACTGGTGGCTGCCTGTCACCCTCAGCAGCCACCCTGCAGCTGAGCAGCCTCTTCGGGGCAGTCCATGCAGAGCTGCTCCTCCATATGGAGGGGTGGGGGGGGTCACAGCTCATCCATCCATCCATCCGCAGTGTGCTGCCTTGACCTCACATAGCCTCTGCTCCCCTATAAACGTCAATCCGATGTGCCCCCAGTCCTTAAATTAGCTGTCAATTAGTACAAATTAATCAACTCCTCGCCTAATTAAGCAATGTCGACGGGCAGCTTCCAAACATGCCATTGTGGAGGAGCCATGAGAAAGCTTGCAAACTCTTTCCTCAGGCGGAGGGAGCGAGGGAGGGGGGCCGTTTACATGGCATCACATCACGCCCTGCAAGTGCTTTGGGAAAGCATGAGGCCCTGGCTGTGCTTCAGTGTTTTTTCCCCTGACTCGGCTCTGCATGTGTGCTGTCATCAGGTTCCCTGCTCCGAGCGTCCCGCTTGATTCAGCAGAGACTGAATCACACAAACAGGAGGAAAATCACTCTCTGTCTTTGTGTTTGAGAGCAGATGAGTACATTCACAACACCTTCCTCCTAAAAAACAGAAGACACTGTTAGAGGAAGAGAAGCTCATATATGGGATGAATGTGATGAGTTGAGAAATGGTCTGTATCTGCCTGAGACCACCTAATGTATTCAGTTGTTTCCACTTCTGCTGTGACCTTCCCGCTCATAAACAAGTCGTCTGCTTATTCATTATCACAGATGCATTTCAAGCTTTAGCAGCCACATCAGCGGGACGTGATATTCATTACAGTGGGCGGATTTTATTTTTACCTTCAGCTCTTTGTCTGCGTTTGACCTCTTTTGAAGGTTATAGCTGGGATAAGTTTACCTGAGCTGCTAAAATGTGCTTTTACAAAGGTTTGAGGACACTTTGTAAAGATGCCAGGACAGGAGCAGGAAAAGTGAAGGAAGAGAAGAGGGGGAGGCAGATAAACAAAAAAATTCCCAACAGCTGTTTGCCTTTTAATCTGCAGCCGTCAGATCCTGCATGTCTTTGATGGGCAACCCAATCTACACGAATGACTGAGCTAAATCTTCCCTTAATCTAGAACCTTATTAGGCGGCCTCTCTCCTGCATGTAAATCAGCCATTTGCACAGGAGATGGATTATTAGAAGTCACACAGAGAAAGAGGAGAAAGTGTCAACAAACTAACAAACAAACAGGAAGAGAGAGAGAGATATGGATTGCAGCAGGACTGATGATGGAGTGAGAGCGGCTGCAGTGACTCGCCTGTAATTGACGGGTCAGCCTGACTCACACCCCTCCATGTTAATAAATGACTGGATCCCAGCAGGCCGATGTGTCATTAGCATATCCTAATAACATTGATTTCTTCATTAATAGAATTTCCACTAAATAGGCCCTAATTACTTTCAACTGGCCAACCACTAATTGCAACAGCAATATTTTTCTCCATCTTAATCAGCAGCTCCCTTCACACTGTTTGATGTAAAATATGAACGTGTGAAGCTCCACACTTCAGTTTGCATCAAGTCTCCGTCACAGTTCATGTAGTTTTTAAAACTACTTTAGTCACGTTGTGTTTAGTCTTTATGCATAAACCAGCATTTTTCTTGCTTGGCTCTGTATCTGACATGATCTGCATGTGTGTTTATTATTTCAGTTTATTTCCTTATTTCCTTATTGGCTTATTGCGTTATCACTGTATTAGCACTTGTGTGTTCATGGCAAGTGTGCAAAGTAATTACTGCACTCCAAATCAACAAAATGGACCAATTTTCCACTGTATGATTTCCAAACAAATCATAATCATAAAAACATGAAAATTATACCATTGGCAATTAAAACAATTAAGGAAACAATATGTAATGACATCATTTTACACAGTTGAATTCTCCCCATAAATAGCCTTTGTAAAATTAGTTTCATGAGATACCTGACTGACACTGACACGCCAGGAAGAATGGCTGGCCTTTGTCTGCATCTTTATTCTTCTAGGGTCCATAAAATAATCAGGACCAGAAATAAGAACATATTTCTCTTCTGAGAAGTCACAAAAACAACAACACCAAATAATATTTAATTCTGTATATACTCTAAATTTTAGGCCTACATCTAAAAACAGATGCCAACTAAAAATGCTAATACAATTTATATTCAATATATTAGTCTAATAAAGGTTTAGTAAAATTTTGCCAAAATTCAACTATTAAAATTGAAGTGTTAGGCCTGTGTTGTTATACCATCATAATTAGCCATTAACCATATTGTTTCAAAAACTTCAATGTAGTTTGCATTAGGCCTTTTATTAATAGCCTATTAGCAGTAGTAGTTGGCCTTTTGATATTATTTGTATTATGTAAAATGATAATTGTTTATAAAAGATGAAGATCAGTTTCATTTTTTGGCCCATGTTCTGTATCACTTCTATTTAATCTGCTCACTAGTATACTGCTGCTGCTGCTGCTGCTGCTGCTGCTGTGGGATTAGTGCCACGCAGGACCGTGCAGCAGAGTGGGTCCATATCGTCCAGCTGTCGTGTTTTTTTGGGGTGGGGGGGTGGGCCTTTGATTTGCGTGTGATGAGTTTCCCCTGGCATCTGGAGATCAATTATCCATCCGTGTGTGAGCGTGTGTCTGCGTGGGCACAGATATAGTGTGTGTGTGTGTGTGTGTGTGTGTGTGTGTGTGTGTGTGTGTGTGTGTGTGTGTGTGNTGTGTGTGTGTGTGTGTGTGTGTGTGTGTGTGTGTGTGTGTGTGAGGTAATACATACTGATTTATTCTGGTAGATTGAGGTAATTTCATCTAAACCATCTCAAAGTGTAAGAGGTGTGAAAACAGATCAATGTGCAGGCCTGAGCAAACTAAACGAATTTAAATAGATCATGCAGTTGTATTATTTCATCAAGTCTGTGAACATATCCTGGTTCTTTTGTGTGAGGCAGCTGCCTCTCAGACTGTGGAGCCTGAACCCTCTCCTCCTGTGTATCCGTCCAGTCCAGTGTAAATGCAGATATGTCTCCTGGAGGGCGGATAATACATCCATGATCCACAGGAATCCTGAAAGCTCGCAGCTGATTGGCTGCAGGCTGCTGCCTCTGGTCGGAATG